AGCAGAAACATTCAGAGAAAATTTTAAAGAGAGAAAAGTAGTGAAGCATGGTGTATTTGAGAGAAACATGTCACATCAGATTTAAAAATACTATAATAGAGCTGAGTATGCAATGGGGTGTGTTTGGCAGAGTAGATATTGCAACAGACTGCAGTGTCCAGAAATTTGTACAGTGATGAACAGATATGCAGGAGAAGGATGGACCATCAGAGCATGTACTGAGAACATGGCAGTTGTTCAGGTCAGTTTCTATTGTGATAAAAATTTAAAAAGCCTATTTGGGGAAGAGAAAGGGTTATTCACCTCACATGTTACAGTCCTTCATCAAGGGAAGCCAAGTCAAGAACCCAAGGCAGGGGTTTTAAACCACAGCTCCCATTACTACTCAGCTTCCTTTATGGACCAGTCTCATTGAATAGGAATGGCACTAACTGCAGATGACTGAGCCCTCCTTCATAAACTACCAATCAAAACAATGCAAAAGAACCATGCCTTGAAGTCAGACTGATGGTGTCCCGATATCAACAATGTGTCAAGAAGACAGCCAAGATTAGCCATCACAGCAAGTCATACAGGGGAAAGCATAAACTTTAACTGTCACATATAAAATTGACCCTTCATAAATAGAACTTGATGTCCCTAGCTAACATCCAATTATAGAAATGATAATTTAAAATGATTTATGTTGTAAAATAAAACTATTTAAAATAATGAGTGACAACAAGACAAGCTCAAAGGAAAAGCTGGTAAAGTTGACGTCTTCAAGCCCCTTTTGGAGTCTGTAGCATGGACATTGGGAGTGGCTGTTTGGTCTCATCACCTTTGACAGTCCAAGCAATGTTTTTGTGGAGGAATTTGTATCAGAAACACAACCCCTTATTACAGAGATTAGGACTCAAATACAAGCTTGAGTCATCAACTGCATTCTAGGGATTATGTTCTAAAGAAAGGGAGGAGTCAATTCTACCATGACTTGGGGAAGACTGTATGCCATTTTCAGAGCTCCAGATTTTGCAAATTTCTCAGTCAGCACCAGACACATTGTGCAATATCAGTGTTCTTGAAGACACACTGCAGTGTCTCTGCTCCTGATGGTAGTGTCAGTGTTGAGTTCTGGGGTATGATTTGCCTCTGGATTATGATTTGTTTCCAGCTGCTGCCACCTTCAAATCTTGCTTCTCTGATGCTTAGAGAAACATCAAATCCTAGTAACTGTTCAATGGGATGCTTCTAGCTTGTTTACAAAGAAGACCACTCAGTAGTCTACCCTGGGCACTCCTGTTTTAAGTGGGAGCTTTGGCTTTTTAGGGTTTTTTTGTCTTTTTGCTTTTTGTTTTCCTTTTGAGGATGAATGGAAAGAGGAAGAAGTTGTCTGGAGGAGTTCAGCTCCAAATTCAAATAGCCAAAGAAAACCTACTCTTTCTGACATGTCCAGTGTGTTTGCTGTGTTAGGCCTTTCTTCCTTGTTCTTTTAAGAGTACCTGTCTCCCACTCTTGGAACCCTTTCTACCACAGTTACTACCAGACACATCATATTTACTGGAATTTCAAATCCCCAATAGTGTAGAAAGAATGGCTTTTTGTTTGTCTGGTTTGGTGTATGTGTGTGTGTGTGTGTGTGTGTGTGTGTGTGTGTGTGTGTGTTTGTGTGTCTGTGTGTGTGTGTGTGTGCGTCTGTGTCTGTGTCTAGGATTTTAGCTGAACCCCTCCTACCAAGTAACCAGAGACTGACATTTCATCCTGTTAGAGCCATCCGTGGCCACAAAGAGCCTACTAAATGTAATCAAGACCCTGAGATGTACTGCTGATCCAGAAGTATCTTTTGATTATTGTCATTCCATCCTTTCTCTCTCTAAGGGAGCCCTTTGCTCCAGACTATTTGTAAAGAGGGAACACTATTGTGATGGCTATTGGTTGTCAACATTACTACATCTAATCTAACTAAAACCCAAAAATAGAGGACAGGGCTATGGGTGATATGTGCTTAATTTGAAGATGATCTACTTCTAGTCTGAACCTTTGAGAGAGGAATCACACCTTTAATACGGATGTTTAATCCAAATATCTGGACCATGCCTTCTTTTCGAAGCCTATATAAGGACAGGGAAGAAGGAAACATTTCCTCTTTGCCTGCTTGTCTTGTCTTGTTAGCACATCCTGTCTTTCACTAGCATTACAGCCTACTTCTTTAGGATTCTAGCATAGACTAAGGACCAGTTCAAACATTCAGCAATATGGACTGAGCAACTACTTTCCATCCTAGCCAGGCATTGTTTTATAGGCTGAACGACAGTCTGAAAGTCATTTTAATAAATCCCCTTTGTATACATATAGAGATTCATTTCATGTCTTTTGTTACTCTGGAGAGCCTGACTGGTACACCAGGCATGTAGAGGAGGCCTTCTAGAGCAGTTTTCTCAGCTATGTTAGAAATGCCAGTGGCTGCCTTCCCTTAACCTGTGCTTCAGGTGATGCTTTGGTGTTGGCCTTCTTGGTTCCTATAACATCTCAGCAATGAAAGTAAGATAGAAAAAGCCCCAAATCTCTCAAATGGAACCCACAGTAACATAATTAAAAGAGTGCATCAAAGGGAGAGATTTCAGGGTAAGTGAGGATGGGGAAGCCTTAGGTTTTGTGGTTCATATCTTGACACCCCCACCCACATGAAATAACAGGACAATTTGTGAGGGATTTGTCCTATCCTTCAACCATGTGAGTACCAGGGAAAGAACTCAGGCCTGCTGGCCTGACAGCAGATACCTTTACTCTCTGAGCCATCTCTCAGGCTGATCATCTCATGTATGGAATTGAATAAGCTGTGTTTCCATATTGATGTTCTTGTGTATATATGTCCTTTATTCATATAGAGTAGATTCTGTTCCCCTGCTTTGACAGTAACAGTTGGGAACCCACGGGGTCAATCCCGCACACATTACCTCTCTTACTCAGTGTTAAAGTCAGAAGTCAGTCCGGTCCATAGGAGCTTCACAAGAATAAAGCAGTCATCTAGAAGATATCCTTCCTCATTGTACTCTGAGATCTGCTGTGGTAAAAGACCAGCATCAACCATCTCACCATCTAGAACTGCACAGACAAGCTCTCTGTCAGAGGCATGTGGCTTCTATGCAGACTCCATCCACTCTGGCTAGTCTGAAGCTTCCTCCAAACATTGCTTACCTGAAGCATCAAGGACTTCTAAGCACACCTCCACCACCAGGAGGGTCTTCTCCCATCTAGATTTCATCAGATGGCCCTAATCTGCATTGTCATCCAGGATAAGATCTGAGAGGTTTGCTGTAAACTTGACAATCGGTGATAATGGAGCAGGATGTTGAACCCATGAAAACCTCCATGGACACTTGGCATCCTAAGACAATTAGCCTACCTACATCATGCATTTATGCCTGGGCCTCATAAAACTTCTCTCATTGGTTGATTATGATTTAGTCCAACAAACACAGCACACATGACTAGCTGGACTAAAGTCATGTGCAGGCCCTGGAGAGAAGGCTTCTCCTTTTGAGTATTTGTTTTTCTCCCAAAAGACCAAGAGAGCAGCTAAAAGCTTCTTCTACTACAAGGTCATGTGGAATCTGATGCTCTCTTCTGGACTTTTTGTTTTACATGCATGTAGTGTACAGGCCTTATGCACGCAAAACACCCATACATGTAACTATAAGAAACAAGCCTTTAAAAAAGCACAAATGAGTATTTAAGGCCAACCACACCAAAAAATAAACATTGCATAAATTATCTTGGAATTCATTCTGTCTGTTGTGTTATCACTGATGGTAGATATCAAGGAAACCAGAGACAGGTTTTCCTAATTTCCTGATTTGTTGATTCTCTGTTGGTTACACATCATGCTTCCCAATCCCACTATTCCCCCTACTCGTTCCATTGTATCTGCTGTCTGCCTTTCCTACCTCTCCAGTAAACAAAACAAAACTTAATAGGAAAGCCCAATCAAAAATAAAAAGAAACAAAAGTCTTCACAAGGATTCTGTACTGTATTCCAGTGACTCACACACCATACACTTTAGTCTATACATCTTTTCTTGTGAATGTTCCACACCTCTGGCTTCTATTACATTAAAAATAATTGATGCTCACTGGGACTCCTCTTGTATATCCAATTGATGCCTTGTGTCATGGAGATCCTGAAGCTTTGGGTTTGCAGATCCCAGCCCTTCACAGGCTCCAGAGTTCAGAGATGAAGAGGATGTCTGGGTGGGATAACTCATAGTCCTGGTTCTGGTCCTGAGTTGTAGCTAGGTGAGGTAGTCTGCATCTTTCCCCCGTCTTCACTATCAGGGTGAGCTTTCCAGCACTGTACTAGTTACTCACCCAATACAGCAATTAGAAGGAGGGGCCAATTCTGCTGACCTCAAACCATCACATCTGGCTCAAACACACAGACCACATAGGGCCAGCTCTACTGTCTTGCCCAGTTGAAGTGTCAGGAACACTCTCCTAATTGCTGCAGTTGTTGAGGGGCAGAACTGAATCTTCTCTTCTCATACCCCAGATAGCAACTCTCCTACCACTCCAGGTAGAAGAAATGGGAAATACTCTCCTCTTCTGCTCTTATAGCCCTCATGGCCAGCTCTCCTGACTGCTGCCAACAGTGTTAGATCTACTGTGCTGCTCATTTCAGGTACAGGACTCAGTTTCCTGAGTTCTACAGTTGGGGAGGGGCGGGTCCAGATCCTCCTAGTGCTGCCTCCAGTGAAGGCTGTGCTTCACTCTGTACATCCCCATCCTGTCTTCAGTGGTACCAGGAGAAACTGATGTCAACAACACAGACTCTGGCAGGGCAAAGGATACAGACATGGCCTTTGACTGCAGCCTAGGCCCAGAGGACACTATGGACCCTGTTGGCAACATAGGTCACTCAGATCTGTATGACCTCATCAGAAGCACATCCCTTGGAGACTAACATGTTCCTATATGGTAACCCAAATCTCTATATGTGTTTCTTGTTTGGCAACACAGGTCACGGACATACACAGATACCGACTGCATTTGCTACATGGACCCAGGCATGATCCTAGACCATGAATACCACCATGACCCTGGTTGGAAATGTAGGTCACTGAGATCAGCAAGGAAGCAACAGCATGCCCCAGGATGGTCCAGGTGGTGACCCAGATTACAGGTATCTACAATGTCGTGGTGGCTCCACTGCTGGCCCTTAGACTCAGACGAAGTTCTTGGCAACAGTCCTGAGTCAGATGTCACTATGGTCCTCGGTGGCATCACAGCACTCTTTTTTTAATTTTATTTTCCAGTTTAAATTTAGATAAGAAACAAGGTTGCTTCACAAGTCAGTTCCAGGTCCCTCTCCCATTCCCTCCATTCCTCCCATGCCCTCCCCACAACCCCCCGTTATCCCCTCATTTCCCCAGGGAGGGTGAGGCCTTCCATGGGGGTGTCCATAGTCTGTCATTTCATATAGGGCAGGGCCTAGACCCTTCCCCAAGAGTTCAGGGTGAGAATGCACCTCACATTGTTCTATGGGAGTCCAAAGTCCGTGTGTATACTTGGGATGGGTACTGATCTGCTGCCCAAGGCTCAATAGATTACCTAGGCCTCCTCACTGACACCCAGATTCAGGGAGTCTTGATCAGTCCCATGCTGGATTCCCAGGCTGATGCCTGGGATTCAAGAGTTAACCTTTGTCTGGTCAGCTGTTTCTGGAGGTTAAACCAGCCCAGTCTTAATCCCTTTGATCATCAGTCCTCCCTCTCTGTTACTGGCTTTCTTGAGTTCAGCTCAGTACTTAACCAAGGGAGTCTGCCTCTTCTTCGATCAGCCACTAAATGAAGTTTCTGTTTCCCAGACTCTCTGGCCATAGGATTGTAGGCTGGCACTCCCCAGATCTATGTCTAAAATCCATATATGAGAGAGTACATGCCATGTTTCTCTTTTTGTGACTGGGTTACCTCACTCAGGATGGTTTCTTCTAGTGTCATCCATTTGCCTGCGAATCTCATGATTCCATTATTTTTGTCTGCTGAATAGTACTCCATTGTGTAGATGTACCACATTTTCTCTATCCACTCTTCGGGTGAGGGACATCTAGGTTGCTTCCAAGTTCTGGCTATTACAAATAAAGCTGCTATGAACATAGTGGAACAGACATCTTTGTTGTATGAATGGGCATCTTTTGGATATATGCCTAAGAGTGGAGTTGCTGGGTCTTGTGGTAGGTTTATTCCCATTTTTCTGAGGAATCTCCATACTGATTTCCAAAGTGGCTGAACCAGTTGGCACTCCCACCAGCAATGGAGGAGTGTTCCCCTTTCACCACATCCTCTCCAGCATAAATTGTCATTGGTGTTTTTGATTTTAGCCATTCTGACAGGAGTGAGATGGTATCTCAGAGTTGTTTTGATTTGCATTTCCTGGATGGCTAAGGATGTTGAGCACTTTCTCAAGTGCCTCTCAGCCATTTAGACTCCTCTATTGAAAACTCTCTATTTAGTTCTGCAGCCCACTTTTTAATAGGGTCCTTTGGTGTTTTGGAGACTTGCTTCTTGAGTTCTTTGTAAATTTTGGAGATCAACCCTCTGTCAGATGTGGGATTAGTGAATATTTTTCCCATTCTGTGGGCTGCCTTTTTGTCTTGCTGACTGTGTCCTTTGCCTTACAGAAGCTTCTCAGTTTCAGTAGGTCCCATTTATTAATTGTTGATATCACTGTCTGTGCTACTGGTGTTATGTTCAGGAAGCTGTCTCCTGTACCAATTCGTTCAAGGGTACCACCCACTTTCTCTTCTAAGAGGTTCAGTGTGGCTGGATTTATGTTGAGGTCTTTGATCCATTTGGACTTAAGTTTTGTGCATGGCGATAAACATGGATCGATCTGCATTGTTCTACATGCCAGTCTCCAATTATGCCAGCACCATTTGTTGAAGATGCTTTCTTTATTCCATTGTATATTTTTAACTTCTTTGTCAAAGATCAGATGTTCGTACGTGTGTTGGTTAATACCCGGGTTTTCAATTCGATTCCATTGGTCTACCTGTCTATTTTTGTGCCAATACCAAGCTGTTTTCAGGACTATAGCTCTATAATAGAGCTTGAGGCCAGGGATGGTGATGCCTCCTGACGTTGCCTTGTTGAACAGGGTTGTTTTGGCTATCCTGGGTCTTTTGTTTTTCCATACAAAATTGATTATTGTTCTTTCAAGGCCTGTGAAGAAATGTGCTGGGATTTTAATGGGGATTGCATTGAATCTGTAGATTGCTTTTGGCAGGATTGCCATTTTACTACATTGATCCTACCTATCCAAGAGCATGGGAGATCTTTCCATTTTCTGAGGGCTTCTCTAATTTCTTTCTTTAAAGATTCAAAGTTCTTGCGATACAGGTCTTTCACTTGTTTGGTTAGCGTTACCCCAAGGTATTTTATGTTGTTTGTGGCAATTGTAAAGGGTGATGTTTCTCTGATTTCTCTTTCAGCCCTTTTATCATCTGTATATAGTAGGGCTACTGATTTTCTTGAGTTGATCTTGTAGCCTGCCACTTTGAAGAAGGTGTTAATCAGCTGTAAGAGTTCTCTGGTAGAATTCTTTCAGTCATTGATGTAAACTATCATATCGTCTGCAAACAGTGAAAGTTTGACCTCTTCCTTCCCAATTTGTATATCCTTGATCCCCCTTTGTTGTCATATGGCAATAGCTAGAACTTCAAGTAGCATGTTGAAAAGGTATGGAGAGAGTGGACAGCCTTGTTTTGTTCCTGATTTTAGAGGAATTGCGTTGAGTTTCTGTCCATTTAGTTTGATGTTGGCTGTTGGTTTACTGTATATAGCTTTTATTATGTTTAAGTATGTCCCTGTTATCCCAGATCTCTCCAAGACCTTTATCATGAAGGGGTGTTGGATTTTGTCAAAGGCTTTTTCAGCATCTAGTGAGATGATCATGTGATTTTTGTTTTTCAGCTTGTTTATATGGTGGATTACGTTGATGGATTTTCGTATGTTGAACCATCCCTGCATCCCTGGGATGAAACCTACTTGATCGTGGTGAATGATTGTTTTGATGTGTTCTTGGATCCGATTTGCCAGTATTTTATTGAGTATTTTTGCATCAATGTTCATGAGGGATATTGGTCTGAAGTTCTCTTTCTTAGTTGTATCTTTGTGTGGCTTGGGGATCAAGGTTATTGAAGCCTCATAGAAAGAGTTTGGCAAAGACCCTTCTGCTTCTATTGTGTGGAACACTTTGAGAAGAATTGGTATAAGCTGTTCTTTGAATTTCTGGTAGAATTCTGCACTGAGGCCATCTGGACCTGGACTTTTTTTGGTTGGGAGACTTTTGATGACAGCTTCTATTTCCATAGGGGTTATAGGTCTATTTAAATTGCTTATCTGTTCTTGATTTAGTTTTGGCAAGTGATAGCTATCCAGGAAGTCATCCATTTCCTTTAAATTTTCGAATTTTGTGGAGTACAGGTTTTCAAAGTATGACCTAATGATTCTCTGGATTTCCTCAGAGTCTGTTGTTATGTCCCCCTTTTCATTTCTGATTTTGTTAATTTGCATGTTCACTCTCTGCTGTTTGGTAAGTTTGGACAAAGGTTTGTCTATCTTGTTGATTTTCTCAAAGAACCATACTCTTCGTTGCATTGATTCTTTGTATTGTTTTCCTAGTTTCTACTTTATTGATTTCAGCCATCAATTTGATTATTTCCTGGCATCTACTCCTCCTGGGGAAGTTTGCTTCTTTGTGTTCTAGAGCTTTCAGCTGCATCACAGCACTCGTAAGACACATGCCTTTGTGGGGACACATTTATGATGTGGGAGGTCCTTCTGTGTGTTACAAATATGTATTGCTATGCTTGGTTAATGAAAAAAGCTGTTTTGGTCAATGGACAGGCAGATTTCAGGTAGGTGGGAATTCCAAAGAAAGAGGCAGGGAAAAGAAAGACAAAGGACAGACACCATGTAGCTACCAAAAAGGTGCAAGGCCTGGTCATTCTCTGGTGTGATAAGGTCACATGGAGATACACAGATTAATAGTTAAGAGTTAGTAATTAAGAGGGAGGCAGTCAGTGAAAAGCCTAAGCCATTGTCTACACAAGTATAAATAGATATTAAGTCTCAGAGTAGTTCTTGAATAGTGGCTTTGGAGAACCAATTGTTTGGTGAGAATTCGGTCCACTGGGACTGAGACTAGGTTGAGAAAAATCTCCCAACATATCCCTTTGACTCTAATACAGGCACAGGTTTTGATATAGACTGGAGGAGTTACAGATCTCAACACAGACACCCACAGCTGTGTCAGGGACAAGGAGGAAGACATAGCCCTTGGCAGCATCCCAGGAAGTACATCAGTGTCATGGCCTGGATGGCAATCAGGGCTTGAATATTTTACATATTGCCTTAGTAAAGGTTTGGCTTTCCTGAGAGTCATAAGAGAAATACTGTATGTGTTTCTCATTAATTTGTTCCAAATGATCATTTCATTAAACGTGTATACAGAATAGTATACTTTAGGGATAGCTAAATGTATGATAATATGGATACACTATGGACACAAGTGGATACAGTCAAGAGTTGGCAACACCATTCACATTCAAACACAATTCTTCTGTGTAGCCCTGGATTGCTGAGAACTGTGTAGCCCAGGCTGGACCCCCAAGAGTTCTTGGGTTACAGGATGTTCTGGGTCTGTAGGAGTGAAAAACCAAACATGACCAAAGATATTGTTCTTAAGAATGAAAAATGGGAAATCTCTTTGTCTGGAACAACTTAACATCAACAGAATCTTCCATGACAGATTTCCCATCACATAGGGAGGGCTAGGGATTCAATCAGCTTGCCAAAGCCATCAACAGTGAACTGACAGAAAAACACTTAGTCACCAACAGCCCTACCCTCCATCTTGTACACCTCACAGGGGCCTCCTGCTGTGGAATGTCAGGGTTCTCAGTAATTCTTGTCTCAGGCTTAGTGTATCTCAAGCTTGTTTTTGATGCTTTCTTTTCTTCAGGAGAACTGAGTCACCAGACCCATGGATCTGATTAGGAGTGGACCACCTGGAGGTGAGTTGGTATTTGACACACTGATGAGTTCACAGCTACAAAGGATGTCTTCTTCTGAGGAGGCCTTGATCCTAGTGTGGAGAACACTATGGGATGAAGATGTCTATTTCTTCTTTGTCCTCGTCAGTTTCCCTCAAGACCTACTAGCAGAGAAGGAAAGGAACTCAGACCCAGAGCAGCCAGGCTGGGCCACAGCTACACAGAATCAGGGCCTAGAGTAATACTGAACAAAGAAATTTGTCTTAAGAGTTAAGAATGGAGAGTCTCTTTTTATTAATAAAAATGGACATTTTATTGAATAGAGGATTAAAGGTAGAACAATGTAAACAGTAAATAGCCTTAGCAAAATAGCAAAACAAGAACAAAAGAAAGAGCAAATGAAATCAAAGCCTCAAAACATAACAAAGAAAATGAAAAATCCTAAAGTAAACAAAACCCAATAAAAAACAAACAAAAAATTAAGCTGAACAGATTGCTTAATTAAAAAACTAACTTAATCTTTCTGCCTATTTTATAGCACAGAATTATAGCTGTGGCTAGCCTTGGACACATGGTAGGATTGCAGTCGCTAATTGTAAAAAGCCTTTGCAAAGCTAGAATAGCCGTGTGTTCTGGGGGATTTGCAGGGTATTTTCTGAGGAGGAAGCCTTGATGGACAATGCCACAAGTCTAAGTTGTTGGTGTGTTCTTTGGCTTCTCAGTTCTGTCAGGAGATTCTGTGTGAGAAGAAAATGCAGTCAGTCCCAGAAGCAGCCTGTTTGTGGCATAGGCTAGACAAAACCAAGGGCTATTGCCACAGAGGAAGCCAAAGTCAAGAGTCCCCACCCGCCATGAATGCCAACTTTGCAGGGGTCAGGAGGCAAAAGTGGCCCACTTGCCTGTGACACTTAGTGCTCCTGCTGCAGCAGCTCTGTCTGCAGGAGGCTGTCCTCCTGGGCTGTGACATGTTCCAGCTTGGATTGGAGATTTGTCTGAGCTAGAGGAAGGAAGCAGTTGGGGAACTGTCGTGGAGGGGACCTGCTTTGTCAGCTCTTGAGCCTGAACTAGCTCTGTCCAGCTGGACAGGAGAGAATGACCTTCCTTTCAGCTGAGGGCTTTCCCTGAATTCCCCCAGGGAGAAGGGTCAGAGTGCACCTGGGCCTGGATTGTTTTCTCAGATTTTAGAATCTGCTGGAAGTTGAACTGAGAACTACACAGCTGGACAAGAGAAGAACAGCACATTTCTCCAGGTTCCCAGATAGACTACTTTAAAAACAATAACACTGTAGCGTGTCTGAAACAGTTGGGGACAGATATGCATGGCCTTGGTTAGATACCAGGTGAATGGGAGCAACCTGGAAAACTGAATGTAGATCTTCTAGGGGAGCCTACACAACACTGAAGTTTAGACTCTGATTATTCCTACAGCACAGAAACCTGCCTGGGTTCAAATCCTCAACCACTAAATCTTCTTATAACCAGAAAAATCTTTTCACAGGAAACAGATGCACACTGCAGAGAGCCTGTAATCAGCAGGAGTGAACTGCACACAGATCTGCACAAAGGTAGGGACTTCTCTATAATGTAATCTTCAGGAATAAAGGAAAGTGGCAGAAGCACACACTGTCCTCCACAATTAACCCTCCCCCTGCAAGGTTTAGGAAACATACGGGGATTTGTGGGGAGACACAGCTGGCAATGTGCTAAGAAGATACCAGACAGCTCAGAAGGGAATAAGAGCACACAATCCCCAGAAACTGCTAAGAGTTTCTTTGTGAATTTCTTGTTGACTGGGCCAGCACAATACCCTGAGGTGTTCTTTCCCAGGCTGTGACTGAGAGACTTCCATATGGCAAGAATCCCCAGAAGGACTGAATCCAGGTACCGGGACACACATGGTTCTAACTGTTCCTCCAAGCTTGGCTCCTACCTCATCTCAGAGATGTTGAAGTGATCCTGCAGCTTTTCTGTCAAGTCCCTCTGCTGGGTGAGCAGCTCCTTCTGCTTCAGCAGGCTCTTCAGTCTTTCATCCATGTTGACTTCCTCCTGTTCATTAGAAGATTGTGCTCTCAGTGGAGGGTTGCACACCCATAAACTCATGAACACACATAAGTACATGTATGCACACAAACAAGCCTGTTGTAATGCAATAACATGTTTAGGGTTCCAGTTAATGCTAATATAAGAGCACTCACCAGGGATACTACTGGAAGATTAACTTTAGTTGGATGATATGAGAATAGAATGGGCATGAGAGATAGACAGTCAGTCAGTGAAGTGCCTATCCTGTAAACAGTGCACAGACAGGTGGACCTGTGATGTCCTGTCCTGCTAGCCAATCATGCTTAGGAAATTCCCCAGGATGTGCAGTGTAGGAATGTTCCCCAGAACAGGACCACTGGATGGTAGTTCACCAGGCCACTGCTTCTTAGTTGCCCGCAAGGCGAGCCACTTCCTCCAGAAGGAGCTCTCTTTACCACAGGCTGTCTCAATTTGGCCTGAAAGCAAAGAGCTCAGGAAACTACAAAATCTCCACAACCAGGATCCCAAAGAAGCAATTCCTCCCTGTAAGGTGATTGGATCAGGGAGTTGTTTGAGTAACAAATGGCTGACTAAGTCAGGCCTAATGATGGCAAGTTTTACTTAATGCTGAACAACATTCTATAGAGAGTTCAACCCCACTGTACTTTTTCACTCATCCATGATAGACATCTATCCTCCTTCAAAACTACTTTGAGGAATGCTGCTACAACCATGATATCCCCTGGCTTCTCTGTGGACACCTACCTCATGTTTTGGAATCACTGGGTCACCTGGGGCTTTCAGTGAAACTTTATGGAGACTCTCCTGTGCCTTCTCACTGTATTGTACCATTTAATACCACCAGCCATGTCTGAGGTCCTCATTTCTCCCAACCCTCCATGAGGCTGATTTTAACTCAGAGTGAACATCTTTGAAGAAAAGCAGCTACTGAGTGCTGCAGACACAGCACATGGCGAGTGCTTTAGACACCATGAGCCTCAGTGGGGTGCACTGAGACAGCCCCATTCTCACACCACAGCATGGCTGGGGGTCTCCTGCTGACATGGGGCAGCTGGAAGCACATTGCAAGTCAGAATCTCTTAAGGAATGAAATCCTTGACTTGCCACATTGGCCTCCTCCTAAATTTCATGTACCATATTCCTTTGGTTTGCTGCAAGGATTTCCTTGGACATTAATATTTTTGTCTACAAACACCTGAAAATCATGAGTTACAGCAGGTTTTCTGACCTTTTGTGCTGGGGGACTAGGTTGACATACCTATAAATGGCCAGCAGCATACAATGTTTGTTTGATTCAAAGTGTGTGGCCACAGTACTTTCTCAATATATTGGTCTCCATCATCATTAAAGGTGTTCCATGTGTAAGTAAACATACAAATGTCCAGAAATACACACACACAGGTTTTACAAATACACACACACACACACTTACCCGTACATATCTAGGAAACATGGGCACACACACTTTCCTGTCAGACTCCCCCACATGTGGTCACATACACATACACAAAGCAACACTACTCTACAAGCAAAGGCCAGCTTTCACACATGCACACACACAGAGCGGTTCATACATGCATACATTCACAGATGCACAGATATGCACATCACAGCACACACACACACACACACACACACACACACACTATCGAACCTAGAATGGCCAGGGAGAGGACTACTGCAGGGGAGTAGTGGGTCCTCTCTGCTTCCTACAAGGCTCTTAGACTCAGGCAGGCTCTGCTACCCTGGCTGCACTTACTTTTCCTTCTGTGAACTTTATCCATCTTGACACTCACTGATCTCACAGGTTACCAGGTTAGCCCATCATACTCTCTTCACCAAACCAACACAGAAGTCCTTGACAGCTCAAGGTAAGGAACCTTACCCACGGTCAACACCCAGGAAGATTTCAATTGGTTACACTGCATATAATATGAATTATCCTTAATGTCATTCAGAAGGAGCTCAGTGATGTCAGCTGCAGTGATTTTCTGGAATGCAGTACTATGCAAAATGATGAGAGGGAATCTGTCCAAAGGCACAGTCAGCAACATAAAGTCAGCAAGGAGATACACTGTGGATTCCATGTTGTGCAGCAAAGAGAAAAACCAGGCATTTGTTGTGGTGTTGCCTCTATGCAGTGAAAGGAAAGAAGTCTACTTTTCATTTTAAAATATCTGTATGCCTTTAATCCCAGCACTCGGGAGGCAGAGGCAGGGGGATCTCTGTGAGTTCGAGACCAAGCCTGGTCTACCGAGCGAGTGCCAGGACAGCCTCTAAAACAATACAGAGAAACCCAGTCTCAAAAAAAGAAAAAGAAAAATCTGTATAGTTAGAAACACATTAATATCAAACAATAAAAGTAAATAAATGACAGAGAACCTACTACATCCTTCCTCTCTTTCTGAGCTAAATTAGAATAGATGAAACAACACAAGATGCACCTAGGAGGACATGAGATCCAAAGAGTGTTGGGCATGCAGAAAGACAAGACAGAAATTTTCAGATTCTCTGAAAGACCTGAGCTTAGGGGAATACAGGAGGGAAGAGGACAGGACAACACCGGATTTCATTATGTGGCCTGCAGACATACACACCATTGTACTCTTTTCCACATGGCTGCACTGGTCACACGCAAACCACAGAAATCAGAAGTGAGCAGAATAAAGGGAAGAAGACTTTATGGTGAGTGAGCAGCTGTCACAGTCCTCCCACATCTATGGTCATCCAGTCAGCTCCAGACTGGAAGCTCCAGAATGGGAGAAATGTCCACCAAGGTCACAGAAAAGGGGCTGACAAGGTGTCAGTCGGCCTCCTGTCAGTGGGAAGCACGAGGTTGGCAAAGAGACAGAACATGCTGGGTGGTGGAGCACAGGCCTTTATTCCCAGCACGCGGTAGTCAGAAACGGGCATCTCTATGAGTTCCAAGCCAGCCTAGTCTACAGAGTGAGTTACATGACAGTGTCCAAAGCTACAGAAAAACCCGGTCTCGAAAAAACAAAAAAAAAGGAAGAGAACCCAAAGAGATTCATGAAGAAAGGTCTACATGGCATCCAGAACATTGACATATAGAATCACACTCTTAGCATTGGCACTGGGCTCGCATCCTTGAAAGCTGTCTGCCAATCTTTGAGTTTCTTAAAAGAGGATAACTCTCCAGAGAAACTTGTGAATGATCACATAAATGATCAATGAGATGGTATGTTTGTGGGAGTCTGGATGGATGGGTAGAGGGTTACTTGGGTGTCTCTAGGTTTATACTTGACAGGTGGGCCGCCCTCCCCTGCTGCCTCAGCCTACCTGATGCTGCTCAGCACAGGGGTCACAGATCTTCCCATGGATCTCCTTAAAGAGCCTCTTCACCTCCTCACAGGACTCTTGCAGTTCTATCAGCTCCTTCCGCAGCAATCTGTTCTTCAGTCTTGACGCATGTACGTTTTTCTTCAGCTGAATCCATTCTCTTAGGACCTGGCCATGGCAGTAACTGAACCACACACAAAATATGGTGAGTTGCACCGAGCAACCATTTGAAATCCCTATCTCCAAATACTACCAGTCCTGAAAAGTCCCAGGTACTCAGACAGCCCAGGAATGGAATTCTCAGTAGCGAAACCAGTATCACTCAGAGGCAGAGAAAATTCTGAGACTAATCAAATTGCATAATTTAGACAGTAAACAAATTTCAGAAAGACTCAAACTACTTCTGAAAACCCTGGTACCAAAACGGATGCTGTGCCTCTAGGAACAGAGTACAGACCCCACCTGTACTTAACTCATCTTGGTATTGGTAAAGCATCTACAGCTAGAAGCAAACACTATAGAATGAGTGCAGAAGTCCCAAATGGAATAAATTATATCTAGGGGTCTCATGGAAACCAGCTCTGAGAAGTCCCTGTCAAGCAACAAAATCATTGGGCTGCCAGACATCCCCTTCCTGGTGCACACCATTTGTCTATCTAACGGCTCCTGGAGCTGGTGGGACAAACGTGCGAGGACCTCTGTGTTTTTCTACACTTAGGAAAACTGAGTACAAGAGGCACAAGTTCAACGGCCACAAGGCTGACTGCTAGCGAACAGGCAGTCAGGTTATAACCAGAGCCCTCACATCGGTTCACTTCAAAGAATTGAAGAAACAGTCCCTCCCAAGCCAAATCAGGCACTTACCTGAAGGATTCAGTCTCCTCGGTCAGCCTGTTGCATTTGTCCAAGGCATCACTGATCTCCATGGGCAATTTCTGAATGTCAGACATCACCTGGTTATGCTCCATAGTGAGCATCTCAAGCTCATAATTCATCCTGTAGTAGGGCATGGCCCCAAGACAAAAGAACTCCATGAGCCAAGGTGGCATTGGTTATCTGAATAAAGCTGTGTCATAGATTATACCACCCAATACATGCTACAGCCTGGCACTTATATGGTTGGAATTCGTGGTGCTTAATAAACTTTCTGTTCTGTTTCCAGACCAAAAGAGGTAGGAGATCTAAAGAGAGGGAGCCAGGCTGCATGAGCTCGCTGTGGGGGTCTAGAGCTGGATATTAACTCAGTGAGAATTTCCCAGCAGTCTGTGCCACATATCTAGACCAACCAGGAAACTATGATGGCATTGCTCCTGTCTTCAGAACAGGGTTTCTAATTCTCATATGCCTATAGCTTACACAGAGGACCAGGGCACACAATCAATGTTTCCAAGGAGGAATGCCAACTTCAGGATGGCATTATAAACTCCACAAGGGATTCTAATATTCCTCCAGGGTGAACATAATGTCCAGGAGGTTTGCTGCTCAAATGGGATTTTCTGGCCTCAGAAGTGCCATCACCTGGATACTGTGAGAATGTAAAATCCTCAGTACCTGTCACAGATGCCAGATTGCTAGAAATTCATAGAAACAGAAACACACATAGACAAACACAGACCCAGACATGCACACACACATTGGGTATTGTCACAGAGTAGAGAAGAAGACGAAAGAGAAACAGTGATGAGTTCCAGGCCTTCAAGTGACACACTGAGAAGGATGAAAGCCACCAGGCACCTCCAGTTTCTGCAAAAGCTTTGAGCACAAAATCATATCCTTGTCAATTACAAAGACACCACAGACACACAGCACCTGGCCTCTCCCAAAATGCAACACCTATCAAGGCATCTTGGAATGCATGCTGAGAGCTCAGACACTACTGTTCCTATCCCCAAACTGTGATTTTGGCCACAGGCTCTGCTTTTCATTTAGAAGAAGCATAACAGCCTGTGTCCCCATCTCACTCCTAAAACAGCTCCAATTATGCATTGTGAATGCACTCAGGAACATCAATTTACACATGAGGACAGCCTAGAATTTCAACCTCCTGTTCCTCAAGAAACCTGAAATTGATACTATGGTGTCAGGATGGTCAGCAGAGAACTGGACATGATGAGTACCTGTTGTTCAAATCCTTGGTGCCATAATTGGCCAGGATTCCACGTAGTTCATTTCTCGCACATGTCATATGATGTAACTGAGTGGTGAGTTTCTCCAGATTCTTCATCTGCTGATCCTGTTCAGTGAAGGTGGAGAGTTGGGATGATGCCTCTCCAGTAGTCCCTGCTGGTGGATAAAGCAAATGAATGTGTATTATTCAATAGCGTAGCGCCAAGCCAGTCCACTCTAAGTTTCAAGATGGAACCAGAGGAAGAAAAAATGCTAGGCATGGTGAAGCTTCCAAACAGCATGGCTGGTATCCTCAAAGTGGGGCCCCTGAGCTGTGTGTTTGTCCTAAAGCACTGTGAATAATCATGTGCACCATTTCCGATTGTAGCCCCACTGGTCCTGGAAGTCATAAGCAGCCCAGCTATGTAGATTTGGAGAACAGTGTTAGCTCATATCTGATGCGATGCAGGTAGGTCCTGTTGTCTCTAGAGCTTAATAGCACCAGGTCCTGATCACATGTCTCCACGACCAAAGAACCTGAATCCCTGAGGCCTTGGTGCATGGCTACATTAGTTTCCGTCCCTTCCTGTTGGTCTCAGATTCCCATGGAATCTGAAGGAATCCACTGAGAATTCCATACCAAGAGAGTGTCACCTAATTAGTCAATCTGTTCTTCTTGCCCCTTTAGGTCAGAATAAAATGAAGGAGCTCCAAGAACAGCAGCTGCAGCCTGCACAAGTCATGGCTCTCCTAAAATAACCATCAGAATCTTCTGACTCTGATCTGCTCTTTAGAAAGCCAGGGATACAGGATAAGTCCTTACTTCCCAGAAGCTCCCAGCTCCTGAGCTCCTCTACCAGAAGGCTAAGCTCTAGTTCACCTCCCTCAGGAAATTCCCCATCCTCTGCTGAGAACTCAGTGTGGCTCCCCCAGAACTACTTATTTGTCCACATTTACACTGAGACTGAAGGCCAGATTCCTTCTGCCTCTCTCTTCTATCACCATGTTATCCATTCTCTGTCCAGAGCAGCCTGCTGAGTCTTGACAAAACATATATGGGCACTGAATAGATAATTCACAGGCATTTGATGTTTCCATAGCACCTATGCCATCACAGAGAATACAAAGGTGCTCTCCATGACACCATAGAATGTCAAGCCAAAGAACGATTAGAGTCACCTCCAGCAACCCTCACTTACCTACTTGCTCTTCTTCATTTCCACAAAACCCATGTTGCCCTTCCAAGGACCCTTCCCAGAAACATAAGGAAAGTCCTTAAGCACCGGCTCCTTACACAGTCAGAGAACTTGCTCTGCTTCATTAGAATATGTTCACTACTTCATGTATGGGAAGTTGGAAAGTGAATTCCAAACATGTCCCAGGAAATGAATCAACACTTCTAGAGATCTCTAATCAATAGTATGACAAAGAAAAGATGTAGAGGAAATGTCAGTCCCCTGATGGGAACAATCACATTGTGGAGAATCCACAAATCTGTTACTGTATGTGGGTGTGGTAGGAGATTGTGGGTGTTCTGTCAGAATGAAGAAAATGTCCCATAGTTAATGATGAAAATTACCCCAAATCATCAGCAGAACACATCCAGCCATTGTGATTTTAACAAATGTGTGATCAACTAGTTGCATCTCAGACTGGAGATGTCAAAGACTAAGGCTCTCCTGGTGAACCCTCAGACTGAAGAGCAAGTACTCTCAAGAAGAGGTCTCGTTCATTCCTGCAGTCGAGTTTGAGGAAAGATGAATAGCTAGGGAGAGGTCAGACAGAGATGTGTAAAAGCATTTTCAGAAAATCAAATGTGTCACAATCATGAGGAGAGTATGTAGTGTGTCACTAATGTGGAGCTTCACCTAGAGCTACACAAAAGTCAAATTCCTTGATCTGAAGCCACATGTGACATTGCACATGCCCTTAGGAAAGGTGACATATCCAGCTTAAAGAACAATATTCATCAGATTATGGCAAGGTCAGGCAAAGGGCACAAGAGGGGAAATAATTAGGTGTCCTTTGCCTTATAGTGTTCACAGAGCCCCAATACACACTTCTCAATTTACTGATGGTCCTGAAATGAAGAGCTAGTACCGTGCCCAGCCTGGATAGCAAATTCTCCAGAAATCTGAGCTGTGGCTTCAAAATTTCCTTGGTAGATCCCAGAACAAAGGAGTGCGGTGGAGCAAACTATGTGCTTTCAGATGTTATATCAGAGTCACAAGCCATGCTAGTCAAGGTTAGGTATCTTAGTATTACCCAATTGTAATAGAAAAGGGACAGAGCCTACTCTACACACTGATTCTTCTCAGTTAAACCTGATGCACTGAAGTATTCTCAGGAAGTGTCCAACAGATGAGACTTTGCCCAAGGAAGTTCTGAAAGAATGGACTTGAGTCTTCCCCTCCATGGATGTCAGTTCTCCCATGTCTCTATAAGGAGTTGGAGGAATCAGAATTCAGCTGGTTTCCTGTCTCGATGATTGAGGTGACACAGTGGACAGATTAGTCAGGCTTATTCACATCTGCAGAGGATGGACCTTGGCTTCACAACCCTCAGCCCTGTTCTTGACAAACCTGGAAAAACTGCTACTGTCACAGTCACTCAGGTGGTGTACACATGCCAGAGTCACTTGATCGATGCTTCAGACTCTAATGATAATGGGGAAACCATTGTAGGGTGAGAACATAGTCACCTGATTCACAAAAGCCATCCTCAATGACAGTCAAGAAAGGACGCCCACAGCTGGCAGGATGGGAACACTGTCTGCCCAGGCCCACTGGCTCTAACAGCTCTCAGGCTGAACTGGAGATCTGTGTGCCAACAACAGCTAGGAACTTGGAAATCTTAGGGGTCACTGGTAGGCAGCAGGATGTGATGGCTCCTGCCTTGCTATTGCCTGTCATGTGAAGTATGAGAACCTCAGGCTTGTCCAGGGCACTGTCCTTTCCCAGCTATTAATGGCACATACCATAAAGGACCTTGCTGGGGGGAGTGCAGGGCTGGTACTGAAATCTCAATAATTCTTCTGTTCCTCCTTCCCCACTCAGAGGGAAACCAGAGTGTCCCCAACAAGGGTGCTATAGCCTTGTCAATTCCTGACTCTGCTAAGCTAACCATCATGAATCCTTGATCTGGGTCTGCTCTCTAGGAACCCAAAGAAGCAGTGTAGGCCTATTGCCTCCCAGAAGCTCCCAGTTCCTGAGCCCTAGCCTTGGAAGGCTAAAGCCACCTTAGCCAGAGAGATTCCCAGCCCTATCCCTGAACTCACTGCTTCTCCCGCAGGACCATTTATTTCTCCATGTTTTCCAATGAGACCTAGTGCGTTCTTCCTTCTCCTTCACTCTGGTCTCTCCAGGCTGTTCACGTGCTCTCCCAAGTAGTCTCCTCACTCTTGAGAACATGTCTCTACGTCAACCTTATAGACACTGAAGAAATGTCCTGAAGTCAGTTGGTGTTGCTACAACACTAGTGACATCACGGGATTCCAAGACCTCTCCAGGACACACTAGAATGTCCAGAGAAGATACTGCAGATGTCATGGTGCACAGCCTTTGCATCCTTGCTTAGTTCTTCCTGAACTAACCAGAGGCTAATGTTTCATTTCCTGGAGTCTCTCTTGTGACACAGAGGAAGCCATTCAGCACTTTCTCTTCCAAAGTTAGAGATGTCTCTGTGCTTCACTATTTCATCCATGGAGTTGAAGGCTCACTTGCCAAACACTGCCAACAATTGTATCTTTTTATACTTACTATCCATAACCAATAACATGAGAAATAAAACATGCTATGGATTAGCACACCATGATGTGAATGGAGGAATGTGGAGTCATCTGAAGTGAAAGTACCGGTGATAATTTATGGTTAAGGGAAATGGCCATTGTGAATTTATAACTGTGCTCAGGCTGTTATAAAACTCAAAGTGCTCTACAATGTCCTCTCTACATGCCTGGTATATTAGTCAGGAGTCTAGAGTAAGAGAAGTTGTAAAATTAATCTCTCCACATATTGAAAGGGGATTTGTTAGTATGACTTGCAGCTTTTGCTCTAGCTAATCCAAAAATGTCTGGCTATAAATGAAAGGTACAAGAATCCAGTAGTTGACCAGTCCACAAGGCTGGATAGTGTCAGCCATCTGCAGTATATGCTGGAATCTGAAGGTAGGCTCTAATGCTAGGGAAGGAATGGATGTGCTAACAAGGTGAGAGCAATCAGAGAAGGAGTAAAGCTTCCTTTTTCAGTGTCCTTTTATAGGCATCCAGCAGAAGGATTGGTCCAGATTATATCTGGACTCCAGATCTGAACTAGAGTTGTGACTGTGTCTCAAAGATTCAGACAAAATTAGTTCCTCCTATCTCAAATTAAACAGGAATCTAACACAGGTGTGCCCTCTATTTTTCAGTGTTCATCCCTGATGTAGTGACATTGACAACCAAGAACACACAACAGTCTTATGCCCCTCTTCACTAGTATTCATGAGAAATGGCTCCCTTAAATTGTAAAAGGAAGGAGTGACGGTGATCAAAAAGTGCAGTAGAGTCAGCTCTATATCATATGATCAAGATAACTCTTAGTGGTGCTTTATAAAAAGACATGGATGACTAAAATAAGGTGAAATACCAGTCTTTGGTTTCTTGGGTAGGAGAGGATCATCTGGAACCACAGTTACAAAAGAATCTGGTCTATCTCTGTAACTGAAGATTTAAAATTCAAATAATTATGTTATGTGTGAAAGTAACTGCAGTAGAAAGTGGTCTAAGAGGGGGCAATGGGTATTCTTTAAAGAAAATGGAAAGGCCTAAAACATCAGATACAGTGGGCATGTCAGAAAGAGTAGCTGTCTGAGTCATGTGAATTTGTATTTGAACTACTCCAGACCACATCTTTCTAAATTCTTGCATTCTGAGAAAGGAAAAAGTCTCTTTGAACAAGAGGACTCAGGGTTCCTCGGGAAAATGGGAATCACTCTACTACAGATCCAGCAATTCCATTCTTAAGTATATACCCAAAAGATACACATTCATAAAACAAGAACATCTGGTCAACTATCTTTATAGCAGCACTATTTGTAAGCCAGAACCTGGAAGCAAGCTAGATGCCCCTCAACTGAAGAATGGATAGAGAAAATGTGGTATATTTACACAATGGATTACTAATCAGCAGGAAAAAACAATGGATCTTGAAATTCTCAGGCAATGGATGGAACTAGAAGAAACAATCCTGAGCTTGGTCACCCAGTTACAAGAAGAGAAACATGGTGGGTACTCACCCATATATGTATTTTAGAGATAGAGATAGGATTGCCAGCCTACAATCCACACCGCTAGAGAAGCTAGGAAACTAGCAGGACCGTAAGAGAGACATGCAAGTTCCACAGATAAGGAGAAAGGTACGATATCTGAGAAAGGGACAAGATATGCTGAGTAAATTGAAAACATAGGGAAGGGAGAGGGAGGTGTGAGAAGGAGAAGGGGAGAAGAGGAGGGGAGAGGAAGGCATGAGGACCTGGAAGGTAGAGTCAGGGAAAGAATAGAGAAGAGTAAGATAAGAGATACCATGATAGAGGGAGCCATTATAGGTTGAAAGTGATATCAGGCACTAGCAAAATGTCCAGAGATCTACAAGGATAACACCAACTAACAAACTAAGCAATAGAGGAGAGGCTACATTAAATGCTCTTCCCTGATGAGATTGATTTCTTCCTTATATGCTAGTCTAGTGCCTTCATCCAGTAGCTTATGAAAGTAGAAGTAGCCCTCCACAACTAAACACTGAACTGAACTCCTGGAATCCCGTTGCAGAGAGGCAGGAGTGATGAGAAAAGGGGTCAAGGCCAGGCTGGTGAAAGAGCTGACCTGAACAAGAGGGAACACATGGACTCAAGACGAATAGCTGGGAAAACAGCATAGGACTGATCCAGAACCCCTGAATGTGTGTGTCAGGAGGAGGCCTTGGCAGTCTATGGGGACTCTGGTCATAGATCATATTCATCCCTTGCGTATGAATCAACTTTAGGGACCCATTCCACATAGGGGGATACTCTTTCAGCCTAGACACCCAGGGGGAGCACGTAGGCCGTGCTCCAAAGGATATGAGAGGTTTCGAAGATCCTCCATGGAAGGCCTCACCCTCCCTGAGGAACAGAAAGGGGATAGGATAGTGGGCTATTGGGGGACAGGAGAGGAGAGGAGGGAGAGCGAGATGGGATTGATGTGTAAAACCATCTTGCTTCTTATTTAAATAAGAAAATAGAAAAAGTATTCAAGGAAGACTTTTGAGGGGTCTCCTTGTAAAGAAGACCTGGAGAAATCTAATTGCTTTCTAAGAAAAATCAGTTTATTAGGATTCGAAGTTACTCTGAGGGTCAAAATCAGGTTTTGGAGGTAGCAGCTCCTGTAAACAAATCATGCTCCATAGCCAAATCATAATCCACAGATAACCACTGACAATACCATGGCGAGTCGGGACACTGCAATGTGTGTCACCAAGAATACTGACATTAGACAATGTGTTTGTTATTGCTTTAGAAAATTCCAATACCTATGGCTCTGAAAATTGGATACAGACTTCCCCAAATCAAGCAGAATGGACTCCTTAATTTATTTAGAACATAAACTCTAGCATGCAGTTCATGATTCAGATTTGTATTTAGGACACAGTCTCTAGTAAGCAGTAGGGCTTCTGATTGGAACTCCTCACCCAAAACACTGCCAAGATGGTCAAAGGTTATGGCAGCTCACACTCTCTGAGTCCACTCTGCAGCTTTTAGAAGGGCCTTCAATAGTCAAATTTACCAACTTTCTTGGATTGTCACTCTTTATTTTAAATATACTTTTATGGAATAAATCATTCAAAATTATTCTTCCTCCAATAAAATTTCATTGTGGATATAGAATTTTATTCATGCGGGGACAATTTTCTTCACAGTAACCTGAGGTTTATGTTTTCCCCTTTATGGCTTCCTGTGGTGCCTAACCATGGCTGTCTGACACATAGTTGTGGAATTGATTCCACCTTGCAGGCAGGCTTCTTTGGCGTTTCATTTATTGTTTCTGTTGGAGGACAGCTCAGCCCTGTGTGGGAAAGTGAGTCTAGGAAATAGAGGAAGGGTAGCTGAGCAGAGCCCCTCACGTGAGATCTTGCCTTAGCTTGTCCTGATGACAGATTGTAACTTCTGAAGTGAATAAACTCTTCAGTTTCCCAGATTGGCTTATTCCAGTTTTATCACAGCAACACGGAATCTAGATAGAAAACTTACCGTATTTTTAAAACATTCTCTGATGAACTATAGCCGTGTATTTTACACCAATTATACACGTTATGGACAGTGAAATCTGTTGGAATATCTACTCTATCAATCACACCCATGGCATGTCTTCCTACTTTTTCCTCTTTAATATTATGTCTGGATGCTCTTTCCTTTTCCCACTTTAAAAGTTATCCTTTGTCCCTTAATAAAACATATTCAACTTATTAAGTTCCACAGAATTGGATGATTTATTTTCTAATTCAAAGTTTATTGCGTTCATATTATTAATTTAGCCAAGTAAACCTGTATCTTCTTATCCACAAAAAATTAAAAACTTCCATTCATTTAGGTCTTAAAAGTCTTTAAAAACATCACTTTCAAAAGGTCTTGTATGGAAACTGACTTTTGTGTGTTAGTTTTACATTCTTACACTTGTGTCTCTGTATCAGCTGAAAGACATTTCTGACAAATTTTTAGTCTGATTTTGTTAGAATCATATCATCTCCCATAAGTAAAACTTTAACTTCTCCCTTTTCAGGTTCTATCCCCTTTATCTCCTTCAATTTTCTATTGCTGCAGCTCAGAATTAAAATACTATACTGAATAAAAATGGAAAGAGTGAACTTCCTTATCATACTCCTAATCTTATGGTAATTGCTTTTAGTTTTTCTCTGTTTGATGTTGTATTGCTTTGGGCTTGTTATAAAATGGCTTTCTTATGTTAGAATATGTCCTTTATATCCCTAAATTATCCAGTGTTTTGTCAAGATTTTGCAATGTCCTTTTATTCTTTTTCTCTTTTTTCTTAATTTCCAGTGAGCTGGATTTGTGGCTTCTATCCTTTATGCATTTTATTTGATGGAATATATTTGTTGATGTGTGTATGTTGAATTACCCTTGCATGTCTGAGGCAAAAACAGCTTAACTGGTGTTGATTATTTTTTTATAATATCCTCAATTACGTTTTTCCTAGTATTTTACTGAGAATTTGTGTATATATGTTCATCATGGTATTTGGTCTATGGTTCTCTCTCTCAAGATCAGGGTATTATTGTCTTAAAAAGGAATTTGGATGAGGTTCTTCTTTTTCTATATCGTGGGATACTCTGAGAATGTTAATTATTCTTTAAATGTCTGGTCAAATTCTATACTGAATCCATCTGGCTCTGGGCTTCTTTAGTTGGGAGATTTTATTTCCTGCTTCTATATCATTGGTTAGT